AGTAATCTCACAAACTGAAAGCCAGGAACAAAAAGAACAAGTTAGTACTTTTTCCTGAGAGGCAGATCTAATTAGCTGTAGAATGGACTTTCTCTTTCCTACCCTGTGTCAAACAAAAATTACTTTTCCTATTTCTAAGGTGTCAGAAAGCACTGAGTGCTAAATGAGTTGTTCAGGTACAAAGTTTCAGCCCTCTAACGGGGATTAAGAAACATCAAAAGCTGCTACGGTTTCTTTTCTTTTAATATCAAATTGTACATACTTCTACTTTTTACATAAATTTGAGAATTTTACACTCATGACCTGAATTTTAAAAATTGAATCATATTTTATAGTCTTACTAATTCTTAGTAATGTCCAAAGCATATGAACTGGCATCCCAACAACTGAAAGGGGCCAGACACAGGAAAAGCTGCTCTGCTGTCACCATCTGCAGCCTCAACCAGTCTAAAGGCACCTTCCGAGATGCAGCTAGCAACTTTTACTACAGCCTAATCCTTAACCACCCAAAGTGATGCAAAACAGATCAAATCCGAATGGTTCCTAAGTTACAAACTCACAACCAAAGTTACAACAGTCACTTTACAATTCCCAAAACTCTAAACTTACTCACTCTCGATACTTGAATTCTCTCAATTTCTGTACTCTCACTTTTGGTAGCTAAATCTACCAAACGAAAAACTTCCATTCTTAACCACTTGAATAAAATAGTGAAGACAATGGTTAACATTTTTGTTCTATGCATGACTGCTCGTGTTCAATTCTGATTTGCATAGGTAATAGGAAAGCTTGAATCAATTTTTCTCAAACACTGAGTACACACTCTTGATTTCCCTACAGCTTTTTTCATATCACTGGTAACCACAAATTTCATGTGGACATCCATTTCTGATTTTTTTAAAATAAGGGATTAAAATATAACACCTATTATAGGTGTTTAAAGATTCAAGTGGGCTAACTACATCTCCAATTAATTATACAACATCAATCAGCTGTTAGATTTAGTAGGACTGTGTTGGTAAGTCCTAGTTATTTGAATATCTATCAACCCCTATGAGTAGATCGATATTCCAACCAAAGTAAACTGCTGTTGGACCCTAACTTAAAAAGGAAAAAAATCTACCATTTCTTGATTGTATTGGGAATTAATAGCCCTCCAGGGAAGTAGGTTCATGGAACAGCACCTGGCTCCAATCCCACATTTACAAGGACCTTGTAGCCCTAAAAATCTCTGCTGAGTTGCAGGGCACTATGTCATCTTCTGCCCAGGAGAAGAGCACAGTCAGCACACTTCCACCAAACCCAGGGTGCAGCTTGAGTTACAGTCTGGTTACATTATCCCAAGTCCTAGTAGGAAACAGCAGTGTGGCCAGAAATGGCCACATTCAAATAAGAAACCTTAATCACATCTGACTGTCTAATAACCATCCCAGGCACAAGACAATATACAGAAGCCAATAGACTTGAACTAGCATCATGCTCTAAGACAAAGTTAACAATCTAAACTGCCAACACTGATATAACAGACTCTAGAGGTGCCCTGCATTAGTGATTGCCATTTTTTTTGTCTCCACAAAAATGTCAATATCCTGAGTTTTACCAGCATTTTCTTTCCAAAATAATTTATGGGACATAAAAGCAAACAATGAATCAAAAGAAGCAGTGGTACACAAAGTCGGGAACAGCCCACTAACTAAAAGAACTGTCACCAAAAAAAATCCCAAAACATAAACAGATGTATTTAAGCAAAATAAATTAAAGGTTAAAACCTTCACTTTCAAGTTTTTTTAAACTCTTGTTTTAGGAGATGGTATGGAATTGATATATTTTTTCTAGTATTTGGTTAAGATTAATACCAAAATGTTACTTCACAATTAATTTTTTTTCACAATAAATTTTTGCCTTTAAAAGTCATGGCCCTATAGCAGTTATTTTGAGCACAGAAGAAACCACCAGCTGAATATTCCAAATCCTAATCAGTAGCTTATGTTATCGAACTGTTAAGACATTTTATTTACCAACTTGACTGTCAAAATGGTACCAAAAAAAAAAAAAAAGCCAACTCAGTTTACTAGCTTCTGCAGAAACTAAAACTCTGGTACATAAATGAGGTGTTTTTTTTTAAGGACATAAAATAATACCAATCCAATAACCCAAAGGTATCCCTAAATCATAATCCTAATATGCTTTACTTTTTGTTATTTCTACTTTTAAGCTATTTAACTGCATATTGCTTTAAGATGTGACGGAGTTTCTTTGCTTAATCTGACATCAAAAATCACTCCAAATTACAAAATGATTGGTTTCTAGAGCCCTAGAATTTAGAATGAAATCACGTAAGATTAACATAGATGGAATTCAACTTTTCCAAATCCAATTAATTGTATCTATTAAAACTGAGAACCTTCTGCATGACCTGTCAGTTTCCCACTCCTTTTGTCAAATTAAAAAAGTATTTCTGGGGAAGTCAGGACTTATTAAGAACATTAAGGTCCAGGATATGTTTGTCCAGGATATGTTTACCATATACTTTAAAAATTTTTTTTTTCAATTGCCACAAAAATCCACCTCATTTAAAGCCATATATTTAATCGACACAGCTACTCAACTCTTCAGTGCTGATCCTAGAAAATAACCTCCAATGGATCTCTGAATAATGGAAAAAGATGGCATTCAGCCATGAACATCTGAGTGCTGTAGGTGGTCACACCTTTAATGTTCAAGCCACAGCTGGTAAGTCTGGGAAGGTTGAGGTCTACTGTCCTGCAGTATCAGAATTTGTTGTCGTAGTTTCAGTGCTAATGGGCTGCACGTTGTCTGCAAGGTTGTGTGCGTGCTCAAGAAACAAATCTTTTAGTACACTTAATTCTTTTGTCAGCAATTTAATTTTTGCTTCCAAGCGTTCATTCTCTTCTTTGAGCTGATTCACTCTTTGCAGCGTGTCTTGTGCTTTCTGCTTGCTTTTCAATCTGCTCTTTTTCACAGCCATGTTGTTCCTCTCTCTGCGCTGACGATACTCGTCACTATTTCGATCCATGGGTGAACTCTTTTTGCTCTGCTTGCTTGGAGGCACGGCTTTGCCTCCTCCCCCAGGGCCAGCAGGCACCAGCTGAGGAACCTGCTGCAAGCCGCTGGCATGTGGCTGAGTGTGAATAACACTTATTCCGTTCACTCCTGGAGTACTGTTTTGCTGCGCTATCTTGCTCATTTGGGCACTCTCCCTTGCCAACACAGGTCAGGTAGAAATGAGAGCAGGGTGATCAGTCGCTTCCACAATAAACTGCCAAAAAATCTTCACATGTACTCGTTTCTTTCTATTCAATTCGTGGTCGCTCCATGTTTTAGACGATGTTCCACAGTGAACTGCGTCTCCAGCCCGCCCGCCCCCAGGCAGCCTCCACTCCGAGCGGCCCCGCGCGGCGGCCCAACCCGACCCAGGTCTCCCACCCCGGGAGTCAGCTAGGAGGTGGGACGATTACGAAACCGGCCGCCCGTTCCGCCACCACGGCCACCACGGCCACCGGCTTTCCCTCCTCACCGGGACGGCGCGCGCCGCTGCCGCCTCCAAGACCAATCTCCTACATAACTTTTAAATTTCAATATCCAATTCTTCATTTATAGCAAGTATACACAGACCTGAACTTTTATATATACCTTGTGTTTTCTAATCCTGCTAAATTCAAATACAAGTTCTAGGGGCTCCTAGAGATTTCTTAGTATTTTCTCTGTATTTCATCTACATATAAAGATTTTGCTTCTACCTTGCCAATCCTATCCTAATTGTGTCATTTTATTGCCAGACTATTTTGGTTTAGGCCTATGTTTCAAAGTTTAATGGACAGATGAAGAGTATCTGCCCTTGCTCCCCAACTTAGGGAGAAAGCATTGTATCTTCTCCATTCATTTAAGACGTTTTTGCTGGAAGTATGGAGTGCATGTCTTTGATCTGTTGAGAAGGTTCTGTTCTACTTCTAGTCTCCTGATAGCTTTTACCATGAACAGCTGTAGAATTTAGTCGAATACTTTTTCTCCAACTAGTGACAGGATCATATGGCTTTCTCCTTTCCTCTGTTAAAATGATTACTTTTGGGGGTGGATCTTCCAATGCTGAACCAACACTGCCATCCCTATAACAAAACCACTTTCTACATATTGACAGATCTGACTTCTAATAGTTTGTTTTGTTAAACAAATGTCTATCTATATTCATACTTCTTCGTCTGTTATCTTTATCCAGTTTTAGGATTAGCACAATGTTGAGTTCCTAAAATGAGGGGAGAAGTGGTCCTTCTTTTTTCTGCTTTAATTGTTTGATATAATTAATCAGTTAAAATGTATATGAGCCTGCTGTTGTCATTTAGGTAGGTTTTCAAGCTAGGAATATACTTTCTTTAATAGGTGCTATTCAAATTTTATATTTCCTCCAGAGTTAGTTTCATTAATTTGTCTTCCAAGGTACTTCTTAGAAGTTGTCAAGTTTATTTCAAAAAGAATTTTTGTAATATGCTTTCTATATCCTTTTAAATTCTGTAAAATCTGTGGTAATGTTTCCTAGATATTGATATTGTAATTTAAAAAATGTATAATTGATATTGTGTAATAGGAAGAAAAGGTCTAAAGTAATTTTTTGATGTTGGTAAAACTGAGCAAAAAAATATTTTTAAATGTAAGGAACCAAATTCAGAACTCCTACAGTACCTGTCACCACTCCCGCAGACAGGGCTCCCGACTCAAGGCCCCTCTCCTGGCTTCCTGATGTCACTGCTGTGCCCACAGTGAGTTCACATCCTTCCACCTGTCCTACTGCACGGGACCCCATGAGTTAGCGGCAGACTGCACCTGGCAAATGGCCCACAGTCCACTGATGGGACAGATGGATGACTACCATTCAGCAGAGTAACAGCCAAAGAGGTAAGGCTGATTTTCCACGACAGCTAATGCCAATGTTCATCCAAGTATTAATTTCTGACGAGTGTTCTGGAAGCTAAGGACATGTTCACTGGGGACAGGGGAAAGTTGTCAGTTCACTTTGGTGTCCACTGAACCATCTTACTCAAGATTCCTATAGGTGCCGGGGATTTAGCTCAGTGGTTTCACCACCTGTTGCACAAGTGCAAGGACCTGAGTTCGATCCCCAGTATCAAAAAAAAAAAGATTCCTATATGTCTGCCCCTGGCCCCCTTAACTGGCAACTGCTACAGGCATAACTTGATCAAATGGATGAACCATTAAATCTATTTCTAAGTGACTCAGAAGCTTACTGTGTCAGACTTTTCACCTTCAAGTGTCATTCTCTGGTAACAGGATTGGGGTTTAAGTAAATCTGTAAATTCTGTGGAGATTCAAGCCTAGAATGCTACTAGAGTATGGCTGGTGAGTGGACAGGAATCTCAGTCACACTATTTGGACATAATGTTTTGGTAAGCAAGAATTTTTGAAGTAGATGCAGATTTCTATTTTTTTTTTTTTGGTACCAGGGTTCAAACTCGGGTCCTTATGGAACCACTGAGCTAAATCCCCAGCCCCAGATTTCTATTAACTAAACTCTTAATATGTAGTCCACAGTCATTGTATTTTGATTCTGTGTATTAGAATAAGGTAGAGACAGAAATTAAACATGGAATGATGTTTTCTGACAAATCTTACAGATCTATAGCATAACTTGCCTTAAACAGATTACTGTGATTCTTATAATCTGCATGAGACTGAAGAGAATTGAATGAACTAATATTAGTCAGAAGTGTTTAGGCCTTGACACATGTTAAATAATATTTGTTTTTGCCTAGAATCTGGATAAAAATTTGGTCATGTGAAGTTTCTGGGCCTAAATGTTAACTAACTCATTTGCTACATTGAACAGTGATCATAACTGCCTTTTATGTTTTCTGGATAGAGCTTTCTGATATAAAGATCAAAGGCCTTTACTTCATGTATATGTGTCTGAAGTAGTCTTGAAGATATTTGTTTTTTGGTGGAAATCCAACAAACCTACTTGCTTTTCAACTGTAGGTCTGATCTTATAACTACCTTGCAGAGCCTCACTGATTAAATTTTCTAGACACTTAAGAAGACCTTTGATTACATGATTGATTTTCTTCTCATTTGAAGGTTAAGCCATGTTCTGTTTAAGACACAAAAGATGGAAATACCAAAATTTAAGTTTGGTCCATTTATTTTTGTTGCCATTTGTAAGTACATTCTCCCAGTTCTCTGCCTTACATCCCAGTGATGCTTTTACACTTGCAACACATATCCATCGCTAGTTTCCTTGTGCTGAAATGTTTGGTGTTGAGTATGAGGTATCGCTCAGGAAACAGTGCCACCATGTAGGATGAAATGTTCAAGACTTATGAAATTCACTGTGAAATGCTACTCAGTACAGTCCTTTGTTATATTTAAAGAACTTAAAGCTTCTGATTTTACATAGAATATAAAGGAAATGTAAATTATATATAATTTTAGTGCCATTAAAAATAACATATCTTCAAGTAAACATTTATAGTATAAAATTTGGAAACCTTTAGGTGAGCCATACAGTCTGGGAAATTATTGCTATGAAATTGTTCTTTTCATTTGTTAAGAACAACTTCTAAGGTATTTGTTGTATTACATGAGATTAGTTTTCCACTAAATAACAACTGGTAATAAATGAGCACTGTCAAGTTTCCAAAAGGTGATAATGAAGAAGAATAATTAGGAAAAACAGAGGTAAAAGTATTAAAATTCTGATTAATATTTGATGGAACCAATTTAAACTTGATAAATTAGTTTTGAAGAAAACCTGGTACTTAATGTCCTTTAACTTTATAGTCAACAACTGCATCAAACTTAACATTGATCCTTTGTTTTAAAAGTGCCAGGAAACGCTCAGGAAGGATCCTAGAAGAAAGATATATAAAAATTAGGAAATTAATATTAAGTGCATTTGTAAAATGTCTTCTTTTAAAATACTTATATTTAATTTATCATGTGTCATACCATTCATTTGAGACAGAATTAGGAACTTTAACTTGGGAGTTTCTACTATATATTCTTTCCCATTAAATTCATATTCTTTCCAAAAGGAAAAGGAAGGAAGCTTAATTTTACTTGGGATAGGAGTGACCTGGATATCTTTTGAAATACATACATTTGAAATAAATATACTACTAAATTTTTCAAAAGATCTGAGAGGAGGATCTTAATAGTTGAGATCTCTACTGAAGAGAAACTTGACATTAAAAAAAAGTAAATCCAGGAGCCAATTTTATACTTTACAATTCATGATATCATTTAAATATTCTGCTGAAAGATGGGGGAAGCAGAACTGCTCAGTAAAAATGCAAACAGTACACTCAGCTTTGAGCATAATGCTGAACAAACTAATTGCCCTTTGAACTTAACTTGCTTATGTCTAAATGGAAAAATTAATGCTTATCCATAAGCTCTATGAGGCTCCTGTGTTAAGAAAATATCCCAAATCGTGATGGATGAGCCAGGTACACCTGTAACCCCAGCACTCGGGAGGCTGAGGCAGGAGGATCACTGTGAGTTCGAGGCCAGCCTTGGGTACATAGTGAGTTTAAGGCCAGCCTGAACTACATAGTGAGACCCTGTCTCAAAAAAAAAAAAACAAAATTTAAAAAATTTAAAAAATAAAAATAAAGTCATGATAGATACATAGAAGTTCTCATCTTTTTTCTCCTGACCTCTACTTAAGAATACTTAGGATCTTGTCACATTCCAATGGCACTTAGAAAAACTAAACAGAACATGTGAGTCATTGTACAGAAATTAACCAGACAGCACTGAGATGAGCAGGCCTCTGAGTAGAGGGACATGAAGGCACTGAGAACATGATGGTCATAGCAGTCATACCAAGTAGTGCTCCAGACCATGTATTGAGTAATCACCATGCTTTAGGTACTCTGAGTTTATTATTGTCATTTGCCTCTCATCCTGATCAAGCCCATTTTACAGATGAGAAACTGAGCTTCAAAGTTCAGTTAGCTCATCTGTGTTCATGCAGCGAGCTAGCCACACAGACAGCTTCTACCAGCTCCAAAGCACACACCCATGTGTCTACGTTAAATGTCTAAGAATTAGGATGAATTTATTCAATAAGAGAGCATTGTCATGCCCCCATGAGTCAGCTAGTCTTCAAGGTACAGGGGATGCAGCGATGAAAAACTGGCAAAATTATTTTCTCAGAAGGTCACCTTCCACGGGGCCATTGTCACTGAGTACTTGCTTATGTGATGTGACACCTACGGTGCTAAAAAGTCACAGGTTTTAACTCTTTTCTCACCAAGGAGACCCTTGTGCTTTGTTACCAAGGTGCCCAGGTCATCTTCAGCCATGATCTGTATTTCTAGCAGAGGGGCTGGAAAGTCTGACACATGTCATACTTTGTTATCTCTTAAAATTTTCAGTCTTTAGGTCAGTAATTCTCAAAGGATGATCTTGGGGCCAACTGCTGGTGACACTTACCTGTCATAATGAAGATATCAGAGTCCCAACTCAAAAGTTCTATATTAAAATTGCCAGAAGTGAGATCTGGGAATCTATTTGAAAGTAGATTTCCCATGAGCGTGATCTCCACTGACTTGGAGAAGCCTGGGTCTAGGCACAGGAGCAAGAGATTTTTTTCCCTTAGTGACCTAAGGACCTCTCACTTTCTCCTAACTGCTGCCTGGTGTGTCTGGATGAGCCATCCTGGACTGGTGGTTTTAAGTCTTGGCAATGCATTAGAAGTACCGGGAAAGTTGCTACATCTCTCCAAGCCCAGGCCACAGTCTACACCAAGTGAATCAGAATCCTGGAGAACAGGGTCAGGCATTGACCCTTTTAACACCTCCCAAGTAAACTCCATTGTGCACCAAAGGTGAGTCCTACTGAAATTTAATCTGCATACAGATTATCTGGGGATCTTAGTGAAATGCACATTTTCCTCCCAGAGAGTCTGTATTTCTAACCGATACCCCGGGAAGGCTGATGCTGCTAGTCTGTAGATAACATTGGAAGAAGTCAGGTGCAAGGATCTCTGTTATCACGAAAGACTACTCAGCAACACCTGTGCTTTGGTATGACTTTTCCAAAGTAAATGCTCAGTGCTGTCTGGGCACGCAGACTGAAAACCTAACTATGGAATCCGTTCATCTCATTGTCCTGTGATTCCACTATGGGAAAATTCTTTAAAAGGATCCTGCCTCATTGTCAACCATTTCTAAGACAAGACTTCCAGAAATATACAAATTTCTTTCTTAAAAAAAAAAGTAACAACTTAAAAGTGCCTGGAGGGCCGGGGATTTAGCTCAGTGGTTTTGCCGCCTGCTGCGTAAGCACAAGGACCCGAGTTCGATCCCCGGTACCAAAAAACAAAACAAAACAAAAGTGTATGGAAATGTTTGCTTCATTTACCCAATAGCGACATTGATATTACTTCAATGATTAACACATGTGGTTTAAAAATCAGTGGTATCTGTGAGCCTATTATTTTGTTACCTCAATTCCATTTAACTGCATGTTATCAACTGCCTAATTTTAAATTAATAAAACTTGTGATAGATAAGTGCTTGTTTCTAATTCTGACAAACGTAACTATCACTTACCTTTCCAACACTGTCAGGAAGCTGATAGTAGATGGGACAAAAATCATCTTTTGATCGGTCAGGATTCCATTCATCAGCTTGTTGACCACTTCCTCGGGCTCCAGGGTAGGTCCCAGACTGAAACCAGAGGCAGGTATCAAACACAAAACACCTCCCCAAGCCTTCAGCAGTGTTTGGTGCTGAGTAAGTGGAAGGAACACAGGGATCCTAACAGAGCCGACCTGTCACAGTCATCCCATCAGTATGCTCAGAAATGGGGAAGGGCTGGGGATTAGCTCAGTGGTGCCGCACCTGCCTCACAAGCGCAAGGTCCTGAGTTTGATCCCCAGTACCCAAAAAAGGGGAGAGGGGACTTGCTGTACCATCAGTAACCATAGCAACCATTTATTTACTATTTACTGGGTCACACACACTGTGGTAAACCTTCTACTCAGGCTATCTCATTGATGCTTCATAATAACTTAAGAAGGTACCAATATAATCCCAATATTACAAATATGAACTATGGAAGTAACCAGGACTCAAAAATAATTGAGCTAGTCTGGGACTAACAAGCTCACTTTCAAACCTTCAGTAGTCTTGGGAAAGAAGTCAGATAACAGCGTACAAGGCTTATCTTCACTGAACAATGTCAATCTAAGTGTCGTCAGAATTAAAATATGATAGTTGTGTCTCTTGCTCTAGGTCCTGGAGGTTCATATGAACACTTTATGAGGTCCTGATTTACTTTTTAGCCATGTTACTTAGTTCCATGCCACACCTTTGATGTGTCACTGCCCAGGTCCATGTACCAGAGACTAGCTAAAAAGCAGTAGCTAATAAAGTGGTTTGTAGTCTGGGTGTTAGAGCAAGTGAACTTAGGGAAGAGATGCACAAGATAGTCCTCAGGTTTTTTTGTTCGTTTGTTTGTTTGGTTTTTTGAGACAGTCTCACTATGTAACCCAGACTGGCTTTGAGCTTGTGATGATCCTCCTGCCTCAGCCTCCCAAGTGCTAGCATTACAGGAATGGGCTACACCTAGCTGGTCCTCAGTTTTTGAACAGTTTATCGATCACTTAGGGAGAAACTCTGCCCTAAATTCATTTTATGAGCTCAGAATTACTATGATACTAAAGTCAAACTAAGACACCCCAAGAAGAGCACAGACCCAAAGATCCATTGAATATAGATGGAAAATATGAGCAAATTAAACCTAACATTATATTAAAGAACTTCACACCATGACCAAGTGAGGTTTATCCTTTAGGAATAAAGTGGCTCACTATACTAAAAACAATCCACATAATAGACCATTTTAATAAAATGAAGGAAACTCCTACAAAAATCATTTCAGTAAACACAAAGAATTGACAAAACCCATGATAGAAACACTCAAACTGGGGATAGGAGTGATGGAGAAGTGCTACACAATAAGACAGGCCCTTGCCTTGCCTCCACTTTTTTTCCACAGAACGTTTTGTAAGTTTGTGTTGCTAGTCTCCTGTCCAATCTATCAAAATGGTTTGTGACTGTTTGAACTGTGTGACCTTTCAGGAATGTTCTGTTAAACTCTGCCCCCTCACAAGAAGTTTCTGTTAAGCTCCACCCCTCCTCCAGAATGTTCTGTAACTCCACCCCCTTACTTCAGGAATGTTCTATAACCCCAGCCCCCACCTCACTTCACTGAGCATGCTCACAAGGCATGTGTTTCAGGAATATTCTGTAACTCCACCCCCTTGCTTCATTGAGCATGCTCACCTACCCTGTAGATCCCTATATAAGGAGGCTGTCATTTCTGGAATCCTCTGAGCCCACTGCTGGCATAATAAAAGGATTACCTCCACCTCTTCAACTGACCATTGGATTCTTGGATTCTCAAGTTTTCAAAGAATGAGAGCTATGACTCAGAGCCGCCACACTGAGCTATAAGACTCAGCTGTGCCTCAGCTGTGTTCCAGAGCTGCCACACTGAGCTGTAAGGCTCAGTTGTGCCTTCCACGCTGTGGCACTTGGCAGCAACACTGAGTTGTAACTCTTAGCTGTGCCTCTGAGCTGTGGCACTTGGCTGTGATACTGAGCTGTAACACTGGCTATAGCACAGAGCTGCTCTGCTCTGCCACAAGAGGAGGGAACATCCTCAACCTGATTTGTGTAAGCCTCTAAGGCAGTGTGATCTGTATAAGCAGAGTGATGAAGTAAGGCTTACTGTAGGATTTATCAAACATGGAAGATGATTGCCAGCCTCTCTAATAACCCAAATACTCCATTAATGTAACATTCAAGTTCCTGCTTCTCTCTTAAACTTCCTGGCCATGAGGTGAGCAGTTCTGTCCTGTGGATCCCATCCTGGGGGCACTGCCTTGCCACAGGCCCCAAAGCAAAGATCATGGAAACCTCCAAAACTGTGATTCAAAATGAACCTTCTAAACCAGGTGTGGTGGTACATGCTTGTAATTCCAGCAATCGGGAGGCTGAGGCAGGAGGATCACGAGTTTGAGCCCAGCCTAGATTGCACATCGCGTTGAAGACCAGCCTGGAATATATAGTGAGACCCTGTCTCAAGTAACAAAACAAAAGAAACTCTGTATAAGTTGATTATCTTGCATATTTCACAACAGTGACAGAAAGCTAACTAACACATAGATTTTTCTTGCAGAGCTGTTCTAGGATTTATAACAGGAACAGTGCAACTATGGCCAGGGAACCTATCTGTCCCTCCAGGATTGGAGATTAGAGAGCATTTATATAAGGGACGTAAAAAGGTTTTTGGAATTTAGCAGGCTGTCAATAAATACTTTAAATAAACTATTGATATCCAAGTTTAGTTAACAAAAATAATTCTTACTTTTCAGAGCACCAGATTGTTTAATTCTCTTAAATTCCAATTATACTGTATTGTATCTTTTATGGGAATGTGGTCTCTGTAGTATGTTAGATGTGTAAACATAAACACCAATAAGCTTTGTGGATGTCCTTTAAGAGAGAAGTTAAATTCCAAGATTACAATGAAAGAAACTATTTCAAATTCAGCCCCTTAGAGGTTGGCTCAATTTTCTTCCCTCAGAAATTTAACTCTGAGTAGCTTGGTGCGAGTTCTGTTGCTTTGGGGCAAGTTATTCTTTAGTTGCAATAATGGAGTTTTTCCAAGAGAGGGCGCTCTTGCCTTGTACAGCCTGTTCTGGCAAGGTCAAAAAATTCAATGAAAACTAAAAAATATGGCCTCTGTTTTTAACCACTGAAAAACAGACTGAATTTTAAAAAAAGAAAAATGACACCTAAATAAGAAAACAATAGAGAAAACTGGCAAGATTTGTCTTTAACACCTGCTCTTAGTTTTAGTAAACTCTTAATCCTTTCTACTCCTCCTCTTCAACGTACCCAACACTAAAGGCATATTTGTTGATTTTCTTTTCCCTTCAAGGTCCAGTTAGATTTTTATGGATTAAAATAGATGAATTTAAACACCGGCCTTCTGAAGTATATACTCTTCCATTTTATTTTATTTTTTGTGTATTTTGAGATGGTATCTTCCTTGTATGCTCAAGTGATCCTCCTGCCTCATCCTCCCCAGGGTTGGGACCACAAGGGCACCCACTACACCTGGTTTTACTCTTACTTTTGCTTTCTAACAAAATTGTCTCAAAAGTTGATTTTTAGGGTTAGAGAGGGAGTCAGGATGGTTCAATTTAGGAGTTCTCAACTTTGCAATGGACATGCATTCAGTAGAAACTGTGCTTCAAGCTTGAATTTTGGCTTCCCCAGGGCTCATGAGTGCTACGCAGCATGCTCATGGTCCCACTTCGCCACACAGTCAGGGCCATGAGGGGAGAGTGGCCTACGGTGCACACTGCTAAGTGACAAAGCTTGGCAGGTGGGACCTGTTCCATGCATTTCCACTTTCAGTATTTTCACTTTACAGTGGGTTTCCTGGGCTCTAATCCCATCATAAGTTGGGGGCATCTGTTTTTGATAGATTTTTGGATGCTTGAGAGTTTTGGACAGCTCCCAATTTTCTGCTGATGTTGGCTTTCCACTTGGCCCACCTGTGGGGTGACAGGCTAACGTACAAGTATTTAAAATAGAACTGCTCTCCTCCCAGATGGCCATACTGAAGAGTCCTTAATTCCAAATATATTTTTGTCAGGAGCAATGCTACATAATTTTAGGGGAAAATCGTTTGATTAGGTCTAGTTCTCCTGCCTACATACAGGCCAGCTATGGCATTTCAAAACATGATTTCACCTCAGCCTCTGGTCATAACTGAGACCTCAATGATCCCGTGATGCTGTGATGCTCCGGGGCAAGACCACACCTGCGGGAGACACCCTGGGAGGAACCAAATCTTCATCTGTATAGTTCCTCATTGATCTAGGGATTCTGCCACTCCCCAGTTATCTGTTACATCTGTTTCTCCCCATGTACTGAATAAAAAGTGCGGCAAGCTCAGGGGCTTCTGTCTTTGCTGCCCAGAGCAGCGCTGATCAGGCCCAAAGCTCAGTTTCTCCAAGTCTCATTTTTTCTACCTTCCCTGTATAATAAGTTAATTCACCTTGTGCTGCCATGGCTTGCAGGAGACTAGGACTTACTGCAGAGTTTCTAGTAACGTCCCCTTTCCCGGTTCCCTACATATTTTCACCAAAAACAGCTAAACTGGAAGAAAGAGGGACAAAACCTTAAAACTTAAAAATTGAATCTCAACAATGCAATAGAATAGAGAACCCCAAAAGTACATCTGTATAAGTATATGAATGTATTATGGCACACGTTTTAAATTAGTGAGGGAAATAATGTATTATTTAACAAATAATGCAGAACAGGTCATTAACTAAGTGTTCTAGCACTGAGCTGGACCCCCAAAATAACCTTACTTCTTTAAGTAAATTTTCATGAAGCAAAAAAACTCAAATGTAAAAACTGCAGTCATAGAATATCTACTAGTATTTTGTCATTTTATTTTCTACCGAAATAGTTTTGTTTTATAGTGCCCAATCTCCAGCAAAACTAGTAGAAAATAAGAAGAACAAATATTTTCTTAAGGTTGGCATGGAAAAGACCTTTCTAAATACCTCCTAGAACCTAAAGGCCATGAAGAAAAAAAAATGCTTTTAGAAATCTTAATCTAAAATATTACACATAAGGGCAATAGCAAATTGGGTAAATATGTATATGCAATAGATGTGAGAGGCTATATTGAATGGACAAGGAGTGCTCTGGGTTCATTTTAAACCTCTATAGTTCCATAGAAAAAAGGGAGCAGACCATGAAACAGGCAACTTGTATAAGAAGAGAAATGACCACAAATCATAGGCACATATATTGGCTAGACATCAGGGTGAAAATAAAGAGGACTTTTCACGTATTGAATTGGCAGTAATTAAAAGACAGCAGAAGAAGGACTGATAAAGGAGGGAGAGGGCTGGGGATTTAGCTCAGTGGTTCCGGCACCTGCCTTGCTAGCGCAGTACCAAAAAAAAAAAAGTAGGGAGTGAGATCCAAAATTGTTTTAGTCAAAGTTGGTAAAACATTGGGTGGGCAGGCCAGCTTGGCCTACGCCAGGATATTTACAATTGTGTATCCTTTCATGCAGAAACAGCCTCCTGGGATCTACTGGAAGGAGACAATTATCCAAATGTGAAAATATCTATGCACGCAGGATGTTCATGATAGCTTTGCTATGATAAAAATCCAGAAAATTAAAAACAATCCTAAAAAAAAAAATCCTAAAATTTTCACCATGGGACACTATATTATTTCTTGTTTGCACTCAATAATCAATAAAACTTACGATAAAGCTCTGTATTTTAGCAATATGAAAAGATGCCTATAATAGAATGCACACTGAATTACACTGATAAACCTCTGTATTTATTGATACGAAGAGATGTCCATGAAATAACACAGCACAGTTTATTTACTGTTTCCAGAACCTCATGAATAAATTTCAGTTATTAAAACTTTAAACATTTATTCTACACATAGAGATGACTTTTGTTCATAAAGAGTGGTTTGCATTAGATTATGGAAATTTGAAAAGAAGCTTTCTAATTTGTACTTTTCTGTAATGTTGGGATTTTCTAAAGTATGCATTATGATTACAAAGACACTAAAGTAAGTCCCATAGAAAGGAAACATTAAAAATTATCCTCAGAGCTGGTCCTTTTGTGTTTTTTTTTTGTTTTTGGTACCAGGGATCGAACTCGGGTCCTTGTGCTTGCAGGGCAGGTGGCAGAACCACTGAGCTAAATCCCCAGCCCTCTTTGTGGTTTACTTTTAATCAAGGAAAGCATTTTGTCTGGTGCCCATTGTGGAGGAAAACCTCTGCATGACCAAGGGAAGAACTTCTCACACGCAGTCCTGGTCGGCTCTGTCACGGACACCCACGATGCTTTCTAAACACAGTGTTCCCGGGCCCCTTTCCTCCTGCTATCTGCCCCTAGCCAAATCCAACAGGCCATTGTCTTTGGGCTGGGGACTCAATGTGGTCCCCAAGCACTCCTGGTGACAAGTGTGTATATTTGAGTCTGAGAAGGGAAAGGAAGGGGAAACAGAAGGGTGAGCAAGTTCACCTGCCTCATTCATATGTATTTGTACAGTCATTCTCTCCCTCTCTTTCTTACTTTCTTTGTCTCTCCATCTGTTTTCCCACAATCTACAGAAGCTGAAAACAAAATGAACTAAGGGCATTGAATATCAGGTGTTTGGGGATTAAAATAGGGAAACCCAAAGAACGACTGGTATTCAAAACAACCACCAATCCTTCTGTCTCTATTTCAGTCTCCACTTACTTGGTACTTGGGTTTTTGATGAAGCCGGTGTTAATGAAATTGGGGCAGAGACAAGTCGTTTTGACTCCAGTTCGTTTTAAGGCAGCCAGTTCTTCGGTCAAAGCTCTGTGAAATCCAACAGCAGCAAACTTGCTGGAGCTGAAAAAGAACAGACAGTTTGCAGACCGGTTCAAGGACACTGACAGGCCTGCTTGCTTCAACTCCTGCTTGGCTTAGTTAAGCATGGCTCCGTGCTCACCAGCATGGCTTTCAGGTCCAGTATGTGCTGTGCTCTAAACTACATTGGCATTCAACCAAGTTAAGATGCAAGTGACAAACTGCTAAGCGGGTCAAACCTTTGCAACATGAAAGACAAGGATGAAGGTTAAAATATGGCCACTTAGATTGGGCTGTGGCCTGGTAATGGAGCAACTGCCTAGTGTGTATGAGGCCCTAGGTTTGGTCCCCAACATCACAAAAATGAAGCAAGACAAAAAAACAAAAAAGTTAACTTTTATGAATGAATAAGACAACTCTCCACTAAATACATGGCTAAAAGACGTTAGCAGAAAACTCACAAAATAAAAATATCAATAGATATCAATAAAAAATCATATAACATTTATAGCCATGCATATAACATTTTTAAATTTCATGAATAATTCCTATAAATGGGAAGTACAACACAATAATAATTTTGCTAGCAGGAATGGTAAGGATTTATGGATATCTTGCTTTTCAATATATAGATTTTTATTTTATATAATTGAATCTAGCAATCTTGTAAAGCTTCAGTATAGGCATTAAAAAAATGAAAAAAACGCTTTCCACTTCTCAGAGCACAGGTTAACTGATAGTGTTTTCTGGAAGGCAACTTGATGAAGGTATCAGGATAATTCATTAAAATTGTGCTGTGCTTTTAGGCCTAGTATTATCTCTGAATGCATATCCAAAGAAATAGCCAATCTGAAGACTGAAGTTCAGGGGTAGCCTTGAATGCAAATAGTTGGAGGACCTTAAAGTCAGCTATTGCTTGCTCATCAGCATTCATACCCCTTGTTCTGGTCACATCACTGATACCAACAAAGCATGGTGACTGATCCACACTGGTCTGCTCTGTCTGGTCTGGCCACTGAGCTCCAGAACATTCAAAAGCATTTGTGGGAGGCACACTCCCAACAGGGCTTGAAGTTTAAAGGATGTTAACTTGGGAACTGCTGGCAGTTCTCTTGCCACCAGAGGAAGACAGCCTGCCTAAGACATTAATTACAGAGCCAGAAAAAAAAAGTCCTCTTCTGCGCTGAGTTGGTTTAAGTTTTTTGTTGCTTCTAACTCAAAAGAATACACACACACATACATACGTGTGTGCACTTGCTACTTAGATTAAACTCAGAGCCATGGGGCCGGGGATTTAGCTCAGTGGTTCTGCCGCCTGCCTCACAAGCGCAAGGACCCGAGTTTGATCCCCGGTACCAAAAAAAAACCAAAACTCAGAGCCTTGCACATGCCAAACACTCTATCACTTAGCTACAGCCCCAGCCCAAATAAAAAGAATCTTGATAAAATGTCCCCAAAATGATAAATAAATTTAAATGAATAATGAAAGTCCCCAAAATGATGAATAAATGGTGGCACAGGAATTGAAAATTATATTGCACACATATTTTTATTAGCATGCAAAACTTATTCCTTTTAAATTAAAAGTGTGAGATTATAAATGCAGATTTTTCTCAGGGATGGTTTCATCTGACAGGCCTCCCAAGTCAGACCCCCACCCAAGCAGACCCACATCCACAGGAGCACAGAGATAAGAAGCCAGCAGCTGCCCTGCTGCTCTCACTGCCCTGCTTATCAGCCAGCCCTAGGCCCATCACCCAAGGGACTCTAAAATGTTCCACCCTCTTGAGCAGTGCCCTCCCCCCCCAAACTGCCCTGTATCAACCACTCACAGCCTCCTCTCAGTGCTGACGGCCTTCTTGCCCTTGGCCCATCTGTCCACAGATGGCAATAAACTCATCGCATGTTGCTTAAACTGTGCCTGGCTCGGTGGTCTCAATCATGCCTCAGTCTGACCTTACAGTCTATATTTTTCTTAAACTTAATTAATTAAAAACTTTTTAAAAATGATATTGGAGGTTGAACCCAGGGCCTTCGAACTGAGCTGGATTCCCAGCCCTTTTTTCACTTTTTATTTTGAGACAGGGTCTCTCTATGTTGCCAAGACTGGGCTTGAACTTGCCACCTCCTTCCTGCCTTACTCTCCCAGCATGCTGGGAGTACAGGCATAAAATTATTATTATTATTATTATTACTTTTTGGTACCGGAGATTGAACTCGGGTCCTTGAGCTTGTGCAGCAGGCCAAGAAACTGCTGAGCTAAATCCCTAGCCCCACAGGCATAAAATTATTAGAAAACAAATACATGTTCAGAACAAGGGAAATGATTCCCATGCTGTTTTTCTAATTTGGGTTCAAAAGACCGCAATGATAGAAAACAAATGTCAATAATACATTTACACATACATGTTTGCATAATTATAATTCAAGTTTTTAAAAAGTTATTATTTGATAATAGCAGGAACTCCTAAATGTGCATAATCAGCAGGGTCACCTTGGGTGCCTAAGGTGGCCTCAAAAGCAGGTCTTCACACCCCAGTGCAGCACACCATTCCTGTAACCTACTTGCTACAGCAAGTTCCTCAGCACTACAGCAGCATGCTTTTAAGACTGGATAACCAGGCTGGTATGGTGGCACATGCCTGTAGTCCCAGCACTCAGGAGGCTGAGGCAGGAAGATCGCTGTGACTTTGAGGCCAGCCTGGGCTACATAGTGAGACCCTGTCTCAAAAAACTAGGGAAAAAAAAGAAAGGATAACCATTAATTTTTAAATTCCATTGTTTGCTCTCAACGTTTAGAATACCAGATAACACACACACATACACACACATACTCTCTCCTATAGTTTCCTTTTCACAAAATGTTACCTATTTTAATTATTAATAAAAATTACTGATTTTAATTTTGTTCATGGTACAAAAATATTGTTCTTATTTGTAATTCCTCGCTTCTCAGAGGGATGAGAAATGTTTTAGTGCCTGGCTTAGCACTGGAGGAACTCTCTGCATCCACCTTTAGAACCGGCCTGGGGGTGAAATGTAAGAGAGGATTAACCCCGGGAGCTCTGGTTTTACAAGAGACTTTGTGCTCTGCTTATTTTGGCAGCTCCAAGACCATGACCATGACAAAGACAGTGCTCATTAGACAGGGAGAACAAAGAAACCAACCAGGAAATGCATACCACATACCAGTAAGCCAGCAGGAAGGGGACCCCCGTGTGTCCCGCTGCAGAGGCCACAGTGACCACGTGACCGTGATTATTCCTCATCATTGCCGGGAGAAATGCCTTTGTAGTCTGGAATTAGTTTGTATTGAAAGAAAAAAAATAGATAATGTTTCCGATTCACAGATCCATCGGGGACAGTTTGAAACAAAGGTGTTTTTTAAAGCACTGTCCCTGGTATAAATGAAAAAACTCTAAATTGCCATATGCATCAACAGAAGGCAACTGAGTCAGCTCACATTAGAACACCTAAGCAGAGGAGCAACAAGGAGTGCTCAGAATCAGCTTGTCCAAACTGCTTCTGTCCCCCATCCTCTATCTCTGTTCACGGATCCTTTCCTTCATCTCACATATTGAATAGGGATAACAATCTAGCTATTAAAAGAATTTACATTTAATGAGAATTTACTAGAAAAGTGTTTGGTTATATAACATCAAGAGTGAAGTTGGGCCGGGGATTTAGCTCAGTGGTTCCGTCGCTTGCCTTGCAAACACAAGGACCCGAGTTCGATCCCTGGTACCAAAAAACAAAACAAAACAAACAACAACAACAACAACAAAAAAGAGTGAAGTGAAGTACAATCTTCCAGCAGTCACTAAATGTTTCCTGCACTGAGCACTGACTGAGTGCCTACTGTATGTGCTGGGGACGCACACATAAGACTCTACAAAGACATCAGAACATGGAAGCATTAACACAAAATAATGCTGCATTTTCACCAGTCTCAATATGCTTTTGATATTAATTACTCCAAGCTCATACCCTAAAAGCTTTGAGGTACTTTTTTATGAACTTGGCTATTTGGGAACTGCTTGGAGACTTCAGAAATACAGACTACATATATAAAACTTAAGACCCAGAAAGATAAGACTCATAATACAATCTGTAATTTTTAAGCCAGGAAATATTTTTTTTCTTTTTTCTTTTTTGGTACCAGGGATCGAACTCAGGACCTTGTGCTTGTGAGGCAGGCAGCGGAACCACTGAGCTAAAGCCCCAGCCCTAGGCCAGGAAATATTATAAGGCCTGAGTTTCATGAGAATTTGAAAGTAAACTGGATTCACTTTGTGGAATCACAGATGGTTTCTATTTTCTTTATCTCTAAATAAACACAAAGATGTAAACACCTAGCTTAGAATTAAAACATATACATTTGAAGTTTATAATTATTGCATTTATTATTTTGTGTGTGTGTGTGAGGGATGATTGGTGGAATCTGGTCACAGCATAAAAAATGAAGTCTTTATGTATAATGTTATTACAGACAGCTAAATCAGGTAAAAATATTATAGCGAGTCAGACCAGCTAGGCCCTGGAGGGAGTCAGTGTAGAAGATGAGAATACATCAAAACTATGGCTGGAGGCCCATCTGAAAAAGATTAAAGTCACAATGGCCAACCTTCTCTAAGAGACAAACAGAAGCTTGAGATTATTAGTACCACCTTTTGAGATTTCCTGTATAAATAAACCATTATCTCATTAGGGGTGGGCCATCCTCTCTTACCCACTATGACTAAGACTACTAAAACTAAAACTAAAGACAAGGTGATTATAGATTATTGATGAAGATTAATGATGTCATCCATATGCCCTTGCTACTATTGGATCAATATTAGCCAAGTGGCTATTCTTGTAATCTTATTGGTTGATTATAGTTTTGACCCACATTGTTCCCACCTCGTGCTTTTGTTCTATACAACTTTATCAAAGAAGTGGGCTCGTTGGCAACCTACTCAGAACCCCCCTGACTCTCAGGAGCTATTCCTATTCCCCCATAAAGTTTCCTGCTCTTCACTTCCATTGTTCCACAGAATTCATTCTTCAACTACAGGGAACACGAACTTGGCGTGTCTAGCAGGTTGACAGTTAACATTTTTCCCCCTACATCAATGGTATGCCTGGAACCTAGAGAAAATTTTACCATAGACTTAATAGTTTCTTGTCTGCTGAAAGTTCCACTTGAAACTTAATCTTTGAGACTTTCCTAAGGGAATATTTTACTCACCCAAAAATGTGCAAGTACATTGACTTCAAAAGTCTTTTCAATCTGAGGGTCTTGGGTAGCAAACAAGTCTGATGTGTAGACCACACCAGCGTTATTCACTAAAATACTAACATCTCCAATTTCTGTTTTCACCTTTAAAAATAAAACAAGAAAAACATATTCATTAAGAGGTGTGATGGTAGGTTTGCATGCAATGACTGAGAAAGGAGTCTGCATTTTTTTTCTCAGATGTGCTAAAAAGCGGTTTTGTCGCCTATCTGCGCATAAGGAACAAAACAAAACAAAAATCCTTTTTTATCTTAGGTACTTATATCTAACACAGCTCTGCCAGTTTACTAGGTAGAAATTTTCTCTTGCAACTTCATCGCTTGACTTTGCTCTACTGATTGTAGCTCAAGAGGTATTTGGCTAAGCAGAATTTAGAATTTATTTTTTAAACACTACTTCAAAAGTTAAGCAAAAACAATTAAATTCTTGGCAAATTCAGAGCTATTCTGGAGAATTATGTAGAACTGACTACACTATTGAGCTGCCCACATCTTCTATTTCTTTATTTCTGTTTCTCTGTTTTCAAGGTCATTCTGTTCCATGTTTCCCAGTCACTCCCCATGAGGTGGCAGCTGGCTTAGGGCCAAAGGGTGAGGTGCTTTGGTCAGCCTTGAGTTGGACTTTGAACAGTCATTTAACCTCTCCAAACTTCAACTGCTCCTCTTAAGAGAGAGACAACAATACAGCTTGCTTGTGAGTTAGTGTGGGAAGAGATGAAATAATGCAGGGAAAGGAACTGAACAATGATTTACAAAATAATGTAGGTAAAGGAAGCTGCCATGACTATCGTCATTATTATACATCATTATTGAGCACGTTCATTTACACTTGTGTACAGGAACATGTCTGAAGGTTCTTCTCTTGACCTTCTGAGCTACCTGTGAGGGTACTGAATATGAAAATACAAATACAAGGTAAATAACATACAAATTATATGTGCATGTTTTTCTAAGAATGTATTTAGGGTTTAAGTGTGGTTTTTCTGTTGACAATTAAATTTTTCTTTTGATGTTAATTCAGAACGAAGAACTTTTGAGAAATCAAAGTAATCAGGTGGATGGTTTTTGTAAGTTATGGCCAAATTGCAAAGGTCACTGCACCTATCATAGGTAAATTGATTACAGTTGAGGACATATGTGCAAAAGAACGAGGCTGGCTCCCAAGAGCAATAAAAGGGAACTTTGAACTATAAAGCCTACTTGTACTCGAGGGAAGAATTATAGAGGCAAAATAATCACTATCACTCTTATCTTCTCAACCCTAATGTAATCAGTAACTATTTCCTTCAAATAATCTTTATGTTTTATTTTTTTGAGTCAGGGTCTCACAATCTAGTCAAAGCTGGCCTTGAATGAACTCTGTAACCCAGGCTGGCTTCAAACTCACAATTCTGTTGCCTCAGCCTCCCGAGTACTGGGATTGTAGGTGTGCACCACCCCGTCCAGCTCAGATCATAGACTCTTTCTTTTTTTTGGTACCAGGGATCAAACTCAGATCCTTGCGCTTGCGCAGCAGGAGGTGAAACCACTGAGCTAAATCCCTGGCCCCTCAGATCATAGACTCTTGATGTTTAAACCCTACTGCCTCAATGCATTGTGAGAATTAAATGAGAGAAATAATGAAATCATGTTAAATGCACAACGAAGAATGAAATCTTCTAACAGGCTCTTTATCAGCTTTCCCTTAGTCCCCCAACAAAGGTAGCATCGTCTCTAAGTAATAACTATTGAGAGAAGCTGGCATTTATTTGGGACATGATGTTTAACATAATGCAATATGATTGTAGGGTGAATCCAACCAATAAGTTTAGTGTTATGGTTTGTGTTTGGATGTCTCCCCAAAGCCTCATGCGGTCACAGCTGGGGCTTTTTCAGAGGTGGCTTGATCTAGAGTGTGTGATGCTGGAATTGGTTCATGGTGCAAAAGTAAATAAGACACTTAGTACCTCAAAGAAATGTAAGCAGATCGTGCGTTGCTAGCCCTTGGGACTGTGGCATTTCAGTAACCCCGTGGTATTGACGTCTGGCTCTACTATTTCTTAATAAACAAAGCAAGCTGGAGTGTACTTAGTTGGCATAAGATGTCTAATTAGCTAATTCAAAATATCTGATCACAGGTCCTTTCTATACTCTGTTTAAGCATATAGCTTTAGGACAATTTCAGCAAAAACACTATACTAAGGTTATATGGAATAGGTTAAAATAAAATTGCTTTTCCCAGAACAACTTATTCCGAGATGAGTGTGGAAACAAATATTTTTCATTTAGGTAATTAAGGATGTTGGAGCAGTAGATCCCTCTAATAATACCTAAAAACAAAATTATATAGATATTATCGGTAGTTCTAATACAACGTTAATACAAGGTAGTTATTATGGCCAGGTACTGAAAATACTGTAAATCCCTGTTAATAAACGTATGAAGTAGGTACTGTTATGATCCCTATTTCCTAGATGAGTAAACTTAAGACAGAATTGAGGAATTTGTGTATCTAATATAACTGGAAGAGCAGAATTTGAACCTGGCTATCCAGCTTCTAGTCTTAATTATGCAACATGTTCCCCTGCATGAAGGTTTTTTTTTTTGGTGCCAGGATCGAACTTGGGTCCTTGCGCTTGTGCAGCAGGCGTCGAAACCACTGAGCTAAATCCTCAGCCCCTAATGAAGGTTAATCATTGTTAATTTCAGTAAAAATAGTTATTGTTAAATACAGATGTTTCCTGCTTGCAGCTCTTGCTTTTATTGTACTCCATCCCAGGGAAGATGTTTTCCACACTTTGCCTACATAATTTCTCTACCTAGACTCTTCTGACTTAGCTCAGGCCTCAAAAAAAGGAAGCGGCATCTGTTTGAAATAAAAAACTAAAATTTTAAAATAGAAGTTAAAAATAAACCAAATCTAAAATTCCCTAAATAAATAGGTTCTCAAGTCTGTTTGGATCAGAACCTTTATACCTACTGAATCAGAATATTGAAGGGTGAGGTCAAGGAATTTTTATTTTAAAGAATTTGCCTGAAGTCAGGTATGTTGGCGCACACCTGTGATCTCAGCACTTGGGAAGCTGATGCAGGAGGACTGCTGAGAGTTTGAGGCCAGACTGGGCTACACAGTGAGTTGAAGACCAGCCTGAACTGCATAGCAAGACCCTGTCTCCAACAAAACAAAACAGAATAAAACAGAATTTGCCTAGATAATTCTGATGACCTTCCTTCCACTAAGGTAATATTTAGTTGACAGGTACAAGTGAGCACACATTCAGAGTAAACCTCATCATGTAGACTGCAGTTTGATGGTACAAATACGCTTTCCAGGAGATCTATGATTAATAAAAAAAAAAGATAAAGAATAGGTTTACCCTGACTTCCCAACTCAATTCTCTGGGCTTCAGAAGACCCTGCAAGGGGGGCTGGGATTTACCTCAGTGGTTCTGGTGCCTGCCTTCCAAGTGCAAGGACCCGAGTTCAATCCCCGGTACCAAAAAAAAAAGAAGACCTTGCAAGTGACTTCCCAAGTGTCATCCCAGGCTGTCTGCCACAGCATGGGCCACATGAGGATACTGAACATGGGCCCTGCCCTTGACCCCTGAAAGCAGACCTCTGGGTTGAGGCTCAAGGCTGTTTTCCCCAGCCTCCCTGGAAGGTTCCAGAACAAACACACTAATGTCTGAGAATCTCAGCTCCAGGTTCACACCCTGGGTCTGCTACTAGTTAGACTTGACCATCTCCAAAAGCCTCCTGGCTCTAACATGAGGGGATTCGAACTGAATATAAAAGTTCACCTTCTTCGCAGAGCTGTAGATACCTTCTCGGTTACTGCAGTCCACCACGAAGGTATGAGCCTGGGCACCCAGTTTCCTGCATTCAGTGGCTGTTTCCTCGATGCCATGCTAGAAGCAGTGAAGAGGGCATGAGACAAAATCAATGACAGGAACATAGCACATCAGCAGCTAGAGATAAAGTAGGAAGGACATAATCTCAGAAGAAGGATTATAGCAGGACATGCTGGGACATATCTGTAACCCCAGCTACACAAGAGGCTGAGGAAGGAGGATCACAAGCTTGTGCCCAGCCTGGGCAATTTAGCAACTTTTGTCTCAGGGGAAAAAAAGTATATTATTTATTAAAGGATTTAGCTTAGTGTAAAGGCCCTAGGTTCAATAACTTGTACTCCTAAATAAATAAATATTAACTTCATGAGGTATTTTATTTGGGGGGACCAGGGATCAAACTTGGGTCCTTGAGCTTGCACAGCAGGCAGCGAAACCACTGAGCTAAATCCCCGGCCCAATGAGGTATTTTATTTGGATCAACTGATCATTATGTCTCTCGGATATGTTCATTTGAGGAATCTGTCCCTGACTATTTGCATTAAAACATACAAAAGCTAAAAGGCAAAATGTCATATTGGTCAACAGGAAATTATTCTGATAAATGTGGTAGGAAGAAACATCAGATTTGTTAACAAGAACTTGTCCTGATATATACAGTAAAAGGGAATCGAGGTGGGTGTGGTGGCACACACCTGTGATCCCAGCACTTGGGAGGCTGATACCGGAGGATTTTTAGTTCAAGGCCAGTTTGAGCTGTATTTTAAAACCTTGTCTCAAAAAAACAATAAAAAAAGGTGCAGGGGAGGTGGTGGAGTGGGATTGAATGCATTCTTTCCAAACTGTTCGCACCACACGCAAATTCAAGCAATAGGAGTCCAGCATATCACAACGGACTCTCGTGGTCTTGCACTTTGCTTCACATCTGCTCCAGCAGCAGTCATCATCTGGATGTCCTCACCAATGGGTGATGCATAACAGAAGTCGATATCATCACAGTTAACCTGAATATACTAGGAAGCCATAGGGGGCTGAATGTCATGATACGCAGCTGTGAATAAATAAGGGTCAGATCAATCTGACCCACGTGTTACAAAATAGGTAGCAAAGTTTGGGCAGAGCTGTGCCCAAAAATTTCTAATAACTGGCAGCTGATGGGTGGGTTTTCTATAACCCACGGGGTGGCAGTATTTGTCTTTGACCCAAAGGGACAAACTATTAAATGAATACTTTCATTTAACCCATTATATTCAAATTATTACCATTTCAACATACAAAAATTACTAACATAAGGCCAGGTGTGGTGGTGCAAACCTATAATTCCAGCATTCAGAAGGCTGAGGCAGGAGAATCGCCATGTGTTCAAGGGCAACCTGGATACGTAGTGAATTCAAGGCCAGCCTGAACTATATAGTGAGACCCTGTCTTTTAAAAAAATTACTAACATAATATTCTATATTCCTTTTTTATAGTTTTTGAAATCCAGTGGGTTATTTCCACCCACAGAACACCTGGATTCAGACCAATCAGCTGCAAAGGTTTATAGCCACTGGGCCAAGTGTCGAAACCTGCTACCCAACGGGACAGCTGCGGTCCACATCTTTTACTTCCCTCACTCTGTGCCAAGCCAGGCTTTGCATTTGCAGATCCCTCTCTACAGACAGCAGAGCATCTTCTGATTTTTTCCTTTCTTTTTACTAATACTGGGGATCGAACCCAGGTCCTCTGCGCTGATCTACATCCCCTGGCCTTTTCTACTTTTTATTTTGAGACAGTGACTTGCTAAGTCATCCAGGCTGGCCTGGAACTTGGGATCCTCCCGCCTCAGCCTGCCAAGTAGCTGGGATTACAGGTGTGCACCACTGTGCTTGGCAACCTCTGCTCTTAACTGTCTCCACTTTTTATTTTTATTTTTTATTTTTTGCAGTGCTGGGAATGGAGCCCAGGGCCATATGCATGGTAGGCAAGCAATCACCACTGAGCTCCCCCCCCAGACTTTACTCTCTCCTTCTTAATAAGGCTTTCCTCACCACCTGGAGATAAATGTTCTCACCCTAGCTCTCCTCACAACACACAGTCCCCAGGCTTTCTTGTGTCTTACTTTCTTCTTTATACTTCACGCCCTCCACCATTTGCATATTGCATTATACAGCAGCCCTCACTTGTCTTTGCAGTTGAGGTCTGTGCTTCTTACTGGCTGTAGCTTCAGTTCTGTACAGGAGCAGGGCCAGGCACACAGTAAGTGCTCAAGGTATCTGTGAGCAGATGCCCTTCAATTCAGATTAGAGGAAATGTGCAGGGCACCATTACCACAGGACCTAATGACTCAGTGCACAGGAAGCACAACTAACAGTGTCGTGTGTTTACCATGTGCCACACACGCTCACTTATGCAATGCATGATCGCGTTTCTTCCTCTGGGCTTCTTGAGGTAGGTACTTTTGCTTGGTCCACTTTGCAGAAAGGAACCCAGTTCAGAGGTGGGCCACCCTGAGTCTGACCACACCACCAGGCCTCAACTTGGGCACTGTGCTGGGCCAGGTCTAGTTTGCATCTTTCTTGCACAAGTAGGTACTTAATGTCTACTTTCTCTACCAGACTGAGGGCAGGGGACCCTGTCTCCTGTTTGCCACATTGTCCCTAGGGTCAAGGAAACAGACACTCAGTATTTGCTGACTGCTGTCTCCATCAACCACTCCTTGGGCTAGCTCTCATCTACCTTGAATTCCTGTTTATGGGATTGTTTTTTGTTTTTTTGGTTTTTTTGGTACCGGGGTTTGAACTCTGGACCTTGCGCTTGCACAGCAGGCAGCAAAACCCCTCAGCTAAATCCCCAGCCCTTGTTTAAGGGATTTGTTGTTGACTCATACAAAAAGAATGGCATTTCAGGCCACTGTTCCTTCCAGAAACCCCTCTGTTCAGCCACCAGTGGTCAAATAAAAGGTTAGATTCTAGGTCTTCCCCACTTCCTTAAGCCCACATCTACACCTGACCTGGATAAAAAATTACATTGAAGTTCTTTTCCTTTCCTGTTTATTGTTTTTACTAAAAGATGATTTCCAAGCCGAGCGTGGTGGTGCGTACCTATAATCCCAGCACTCGGGAGGCTGAGGTAGCAGGATAACTTTGTGTTTGAGGCCAGCCTAGGCTACATAGTGAGTTCAAGGCCAGCCTGAACTACATAGAGAGACTGTGACAAAAAAAAATTTTTTTAACACAAAAGACGATTTTCATAAATAACTTTTGGCGATAATTACAGCATAGTAACGTGGCTTTCTGTTGGGTATAATCTTATTTTTTGGTACCGGGGATCAAACTTGGGTCCTCGTGCTTGCAAGGAAGGCGGCAGAACCACTGAGCTAAATCCCTGGCCCTGTTAGGTATAATCTTTAAACTATTGATCTTTAGTAGCTGCAAATAGGACCTGGGAACGAGTCTTTTACTGTTTTAAAATCCTCACTAAAACTATTATTTTTTTCCATGCAGTTAAGCTAGGGGGTCAGTGAAATCAGATTACAAATAATTTTCTGGGTCTAAGTGCGAATGAGTGTACAATGTAATTTGAGGGTGGACAGTAACTGGGAATCTATCTCCTCTAGGTCCATTCCTCAGGTGATCCGAAGCATATGAATCAATTCCTGCTCCACCGGTACAGCGGCAATAGCAATTCTTTTCCACCTTCTCTACAGAGATGTGGTAAGGGGTGGTTGCCAGCAAAAGGCGGCCGTGTCTGCAGAGCAAAGGCAGCGGAAAGGAAAGAGCAGTCAGCGCTGTTACCTTATTGATATCCCAGAGAACCAGTTTGCTTTTACGTTTGGCAAATTCAAAGGCAGTGAGTCTCCCAATTCCATGTCCAGCTCCAGTGACGAGGACGATTTCTCCGGTGACTGATTTTTTCTTCTTAGGAATGAAAAATTTAATGAGAGACTCTAAGGAGAAGACGAGTAACAGGGGCAGGAGCAGGAGGGTGCTCAGATGGAACTTCATCTTGCTGTGGACCAGCTCCGCCACGTTCCCTTCCGGATAGATCACTCCACGCGGCTCTCGCGGCCGCGGGTTAAATACCCTCAAGCAAGGAAGAGGTTCTCTCTCGTAGAAGCAAACAGCCGACCGCTCCTTCCGCAGGGCGGGCTCTTCTCGGTGCCTGCCATTGGCTGGGCCGCAGCGCAAAGCCCAGGAGAAGGGACAGGGAGGGAACAGAGGACAGGGAGGGGACCGAAGGGACAGAGTCCCGCGCGTCCCTGCGGTCACACCTTCCAGGTCAGAGGCCCCTTGATTTCCTTAATCTGGCAGACCCACAGCTCTGGAAAGGCGAACTAACCGCTTCCAAGTTCGGGGGGTGCTGCCTGCAAAGTCGCCGCGGCCCCTCAGAAGATAAGGATGCAAATGCAGCAGCATCTTTGCAGGGCTCTGAAAAAGCCAGTTTTTCTGCTCCCTGAGAAGAAAAAAACCCACCTCACAGATCAGTTTGAATTAAGCACGATTTCTGGAACACAGGAAATTCTGTTCTCTCAAAGCTAGCTATAATCAAGTTTTAGTATAAAACCTTAAGCGGGACTGTTATCAAAAGAAAGAGCAATATATTTGGGCAGCCACTTGACCTATTAGAATTGGGAAACAACAGCAACAAAGCATGCATTCCACTGTAGTAATTGTATCTTTATCCTGGCTAATAAATCACCGTTCAGCTAAGTGCAGCGAGGCACACCTGCAAAATCAGCTACTCAGGAGGCCAAGGCAGGAGGACTGCAAGTTGGAGCTCAGCCTGGGCAATTTGGCAAGGCCCTGTCTCAAAAGGAAAAATAAATATGGCTGGAGATGTGGGTCAGAGGTAGTGTCCCAGTACCAGAAGAAAAAAGTCACTATCAAAACTGAATAAATACAAAGGACACAGCTTCACACTGAAGATTACTTATGAGGGTTGGGTTCATCATCTGTCTGTACATATGCATGTGTGCTTTTGTCTGTACAGTGGGTATTCCATATAAAGTAACTGCTGATCTAAAAATAAAATCTGCCTGATGATAACTCAGTGGTAGGGCATTTGCCAGCATGCTAGAGGTCCAGGGTTGGATTGGAGAGACTGCTTACTGGTTACTCACAACCGAAGTAGTGAGGTAGGAGGTTAGGGCTGGGGCTACAGGACAAACAACTGGGCGGGATGTGCCAGAGGTCCTAAAAACATGAGCAGAACACAGGACCCTAAAGGACTCCAGGCAACCGAGGACTGCGGGGAACTAATCAGAAAGCAACATTCTCAATTTCTCATTTGAATCTGGAGCTGTTTATAGGACCAGGCAGAAAAGTGCTATTTTCAATCCTTCATTTACATCTGGAAGAAGTCAAGCCAGTCTTTCCATAGGACAGTTCAGATCTGACTCCCCCCCCGCCCCCAGGCCAGGAGAGTGTCTGATAGGACAACTGACACCTTGCTTTATTTGCGTGGGGTGGGGAGCCAAGCCGAGAATTTTGAATACAAAGTCCTCCTCCCATTCCCTTTGCCCCTGTGAACCTTTCCCTCAACCACTCCTACTCCGCAGAAACACCTCTTTCCACCCTCAGGAAATGTGAACCTTTTGTAGATTGTCTGCACGTCTTGTTCAGTTCTTTGTTCAGGACACCAAGAACCTGGAAAGGATCCTATGGGCCTCCACTCAGTGCCATTTCTGCTAGTGTGCAGCAAGAGCTTAGCAATTGTCTGGTTCTGAATTTTTTTCCAATTGTGTTGTAGAAAGTGATTGGATTTTGGTTTTGCAGAAGACACACCAAGGTCTGGGAAAAGACCTTTGTAGGGCATGAATAGCCATCCTCTATACTCAGGAGCTAGAAAAATCACAGTAGCTTTTGAATTGTACCTAATAAAGCCCTACCTTTGCCTCTTACTGAGGTGTTCTGAAGATTCTTTCTCTGGGACCAGAAGTCAGCAAACCTAATCTATGGGTAAGGTGGGCCTGGTTCTTTATTTCTGCTTCAGAAGCCTCCTTGGTCCTGTCTGACAGCCCCACAAAAGTACACTCCACCATGGGCTTCTTTTCATTCTCATTTTATTCCCAGCATTGTCTTCTACCCCTCAAATCCATGCTCCTAATAGTATGAACACTTGTGCAGGAAGTGTAGTTTCCCAAGTTTTCTTTCGCATATATCATTTATTTGATTTTTCAAAATCCTCCTAGGAAGTAGAGATGAAAAATACTTATATTTGTATTTTATAAATGGATAAATCAGTTAGGTTGACTTTTATGAATTTCCACAGTGAATAAAGGCATAAATGAGGCTTAGACCTATGGTCACTGGTGTGATGTCAGTTTTTTGTTTTATTTTGTTTAGATAAGATCTTGCTTCCTACTGCAGGCTGGCCTTGAACTTACTATGTAGCCCAGGATGTTCTCAAACTTGTGGCAATCCTGCCTTATTCTCCCCAAGTGGTGGGGTTATAGACGTGCACCACCACACCTGGCAGTGCTGGTCAGGTTTTTGCCTAACAACTACAGAAAAAAAATTGTATTTTACCTTGTGACCAAGTATATTTATATGTGTTTGCTTTCTTGTATGTTGACTTTCTATATATTAAGACTCTGCCTCTGCTATTCCTTATTTTGTCTATTTTTAAAAATGTATTAAAAAACTGAAAGAGAGGCATGGTGGTACATGTAATTCCAGCATTCAGGAGGATGAGTCAGGAGGATTGCCACAAGTTCAAGGCCAGCCTGGGCTACATAGTAAGTTCAAAACTAGCCTGCACTACCAAGTAAGACCCTGTCTCAACCCCCTCCCAAATAAAAGAGAATAAAATTAAATAAAAATTTAAAAAACCTGGGACATTTTAACTCACCAGGTTGGGGTGCATATGAGTTATCTGTCTAAACATCTGTATCCTAATTTATGAAACTGGAATATTACTAGTACTTACCTTGCAGGATTCCTGTGGTGTTCATAGTGCTTTAATAGCCATTCACCTCTATGTGAATTAGAAGTAACACTAATATCATGTGAAAGATACCAATGTTCTTGTAAAGAGTGGTTATAATGTGGATGGTTTGGTGCATGACAATTAGCTTTTGACACAGTGGTAAAATAGAATTTTTTTTTTCCTGGTATCAGGAATCAAACTCAGGACCTTGCACTTGCCAGGCAAGCACAGCACCAATGATCTACATCCCGGCCCAGAAAATATATGATTTTATATATATATATATATTATTGAGGTTATACATATATTGAGGTTACTAAATATACTTTAAATAAATTAGGAGCGTTTAACATATGTTATACATGGGGATCCCTCTTTTTTTTTTTGGTACCAGGAATTGAACTTAGGACCTTGCCCTTGTGAGGCAGGCTCCGAGACACTGAGCTAAATCCCTGGCCCAAGGCATCTTAAAGTCATGCTATCTTCCAGGCTGTTTGTGTGTGTGCTTGCATGTGTGTGATTGTGTGTGTGTGTGTGTGTGTGTGTTAGTGGGGATTGAACCCAGTTACACTTCCAGACCTTTTTAAAATTTTGAGACAGGGTCTTACTAAATCCTTAAATTGCCCAGGATAGGCTCAAACCTTTGGTCCTTCTGCCTCAGCCTCCCAGAGTGCAGGGGATAAAGGCATGCACCACCACGGCCTGCTGTCAGCTGTTGCGTGGTACATATTTAAAAACAACGGCACCAAAAACATAAGGATAGTGGTTTTCATCAATGTCTTGAGCACTTCACAATCCTGGCTTTATGCTAGTAAGTGCTTCACATACACACACTTTTAGTTTCTTTCACAATAACCGTAAGCTATAGATTCAGTTGAAATCTTGGTTATGTGAATTGAGAATAAAGGATTAAGAGAAATTAAGGAAACTATCTGAGGTCATAGTATAAATGACAGAGTTAAATTTTAGCCCAGCTATGTACTATCTGATTCTTTAACCTCTTTCTTCTCTCTCTCTTTTTCCCTCTCACTTTGTGTGTGTGTGTGTGTGTGTGTGATTATGGGGATCCAACCCCAGGCCCACACATGTGAAACAAATGCTCTACACTGAGTTACAGCTGCAGCCCAACTTCTCCTGAGGTCTAAATTACCACATCTGTAAAATTCATGTAATAGCAGCTAAATTACTATGAAGAGTAGAGAAAATACGTAGAATGCACCAAGGGGGTGCACAAGAGTGAATGAGATACACAGAAAGCACATCTTGCACATGCATATACCTGGTCCACAGCAACTATTACTCCATTTAATCCGTCATCAGTAGGCTGTGTATATATGTGCAAAGCTGGCTCTAATATAGAACATAGCAGGTAGCTGAGGAAGCACTGGGCCCAAGGTAGAGTCAGGATGAGCAGGCTTTGATCAGATGAGCAGGAGTCTGAGGTCAGAGTTAACAAGAATCAGGTGGACAATGAAGTCTAGAGATGTGACAAGTGAGGTGACAGCAAGGTGATGGATGTCCACTGTGACAACTTCTCCTGGATATCTGGAAAATGTTTTTCCTTCTCACTTTGTTCTTCTAATGAACCACTTGGTTAGGATAGGGACCAAGAGGCTCTTGCAGACATATACTTGCTATATGCCTGGAATCCTCGGCCTATTTCTAGGGGTTTTTAAAATTGTTGGTTGAGACAGAGTCTCGGTATGTTGGCCAGGCTGGTCTCAAACTCGAGGTGATCCTCCTTCCTCAGCCTCTCGAGTGCTGGGATTACAGGTGTGCACCACCATGCCTGGCTCCCATTTCTAGTTTAAGTAAGTTGGTTTTAGTCCTATAGGTTGACCTTAGCTTGATGGGGAGTGGTCTGAACCCTGGTCATTGTTTGGTATAAAAACTGCTAGACAAAGTCCCCATGGCAACCCAATTTCAGGTCTCTTCTCAACTATCAGGTGCTATCCTCTATTCTTAATAAACACTCCTCCTGTCTACCTCCTTTGTCTTCAAATTCATTCTTTGCCTTTGTGAAACACAAACCTAGATTACGCCGTTACAACTCCATAGCCCCTTGGCAGATTCATAACACACACAACAACTACACAGGCCAGTAGAGAGTGGTCACTTCCACTGTAAAGAACCCTGGGGAAGAACAGCCAGGAGCACTGCCAGACTATCTAAAGGATACACTGACA